GGCCCAAGACTGACTTCTGGTAACTAAAACTTCCACAAGCAGACTCTCAGATTAAGTGGATCTGCTACTGTGGCAGCAGAAGATCAAGCGTTGATAATCCACATTGGCTTGGCAGGGACCTCTGTCAGGGATTACTGTGGCTGCTGCAGTGACAGAAGCAACCCAGACACAAGTCCCTGGGAAGCAAGCCAGATTGAACCCCTTCACCCAGTGATGTACTGGCAAAATAAACCCCCATCATCTTAAGCCTTAATAACAGCCAGTTTTCATTATGTAATTTCCCTGATTAAAACAATCTCCTTTTGGATTGCCTTTGAAATCCATTTGGAATATGCTCAGTGACACCAAGCCACTGCCATGCATATATGAATGAGCTGATTCAAATCAGTTCAACAAATATGTATTAAACACTTTGTGCAATCAAAGTAGAACAGTAAAGGCTGGGAATGATATCAAGCCAAGTCTTTGCTCTCCACCACCTTACGGTATGACTCATACAACAGCACATCAGTGTGCCCAAGTAGAAGATATGACTGCAAAGACACCAAGATGGGCTTGAGTTTAAAGTTACCAAAGCAATTTCTTTGGAAGCCATTGTGCATCAGAACGGCTGCTAGCCAGGACTCTGTTACATCTATGACATTTGCGCAGCAGTGTGGAACACTCTCATTCTCTGCTTGAGATGTGCTATTGATGATTTGGGATGCTGTGGGGAGTGCCTCCTTTCCCCCACAAAAATCATGCCATATTCAGTAGAAAGTGACAAGCTTAGAATTGGGTGGATTGATCCCTTGATTGAGGTATTGAGATGTTGAGTGACTCTTGGTTTAAAAAAAAAAGTCACTTTTGTAACTATTTCTTCATGTTTGATCTAAAGAAGAGGATTAATGACTTCATACCAGGCTACATAACAGCAGACATGTGAGCCACACAGAGCTTTGAGGCTTAGGAGGCTTTGGAAATGAACAAGGTGTGGTGACTACTGGTGGTGGCAGGGCTCCCATGGAACTTGTCCAACTCAAGTTCCTTCCCACTCGAGAAGAAGGAAAAGATGGTAGAAAGGAGCAGCACACCCAGCGGAGAAAAGCAGAACTAGAGATGATAGGTACGAGCCAGCAGGCTGCAAACCTGTCATGATCATGCTCAGAATAATGGCAGGGCAGCCGGTGCTGAGGGCAAGGTGGTGTGCAGCAGCCTGGAGGTCTCACAGGTTGTGCCCCCCAGACATGCTGCTCAACTGCACAACCACCCTGACTCTGAGCAACAACAAGATATCCAAGATGAAGAATGTTTTATTTTCTGGGTTAAGTTTCCTTGAAAGACTTCCATGATCTATGCTACCTCCAGAAACCAGATTGATGTCCATGATCCATGCTGCCATGGGCAGCTATGGGCAGGGAAGCTTCTTTTGCAGTGATATTGGTGACTGAAGACTCATAACTGAGAATGAGAGACATTGAAGGCTTCTATGACAACCTCCTCTGCCCCCGCCCCAAAAAGAAAGAAACAGTCCCTAGACACGAAGCTATTGAAAGGAGTTCTTAAAAAATGTGATAAAGATGCTAAAGTGTAGCTCTTCACAGTTGGTGGCTTCTAGGGGTGAGGTGGGGTGGGGAAGGACTCAATCTTCTTTAAGGGGCTAGCTACTGGGAGTGTGACCATGTTCCAATGAGTATATGGGCAACACAAATTGGACTTTTGGACTTGGGTTTTTTTTTCTTTTTTTGGGGGGGTGTGTGCAAGGGTGGGAGGGTAGACCTGAGAGGAACAGTAAGCAAGTGTGATCAGGGTGCATTGCATGAAATTCCCAATAATTAATAAAAAATATTATGTTGGGAAAAAAGGAATATGTAATGCTAGCAGGACAGAGTCTTAATAAAAACACATTTAAAGGAAGAGGGGAAAAAAATTCCTCCCCAAAGGGCATATTTGGTGAACAAAAGGATAAACTCGCTGGGGAAGGGGAAATGACATGAATGCTCGCCATGGGACAAATAGACACATAGAGCAATCTGAGGATAAGGACCAGGGCCTCAGCAAACTCAGACCTGCACCAGACATTGCCCAGGCCATCAGCTGGCAGCTGGGTCCAGGTTCCATGCCTTGTCTGATTCTTTCTGCCAAGTCCACCCATGGACACGGTGCACAGGCACCATTATCTAAGTCACTCTTCCTAGGCTCCTGTTCCATTTTCCTACAGAATCAGTTGTAGGCTGCAGAAGGATACTCTAGACAATGGCAGACCACGTGTACAGAAAGGTGTCCCTGAAGATTACAAAGGAGCTGGAAAAATCCTATTGCTCAGGCTTCACGGCTACCCTAACACTGAACCAAGCATTGATCACATGACTGTAATTTTCTGGTATGAGCATACCTGCGCTCTCCCAGATAGCTGAAGGGGGAGCATGTACACACACAGCACTGAATGGTGGTGACTGGCAAAGTCATGGTTCCTGCACTACTTGTCACTATTTCTGGGTATCCACCTTCTACTAATGAGGTGATGGCAAACTCTGCAAAAGGCACAGGATTACTGTGTCTCTTGGCTGCACCCAAAGGCCGTGCTAATAACTGACCCAGAGCGTCTAGGTTTGGGATGTTCCTCTAGGATGTGTGCCCCCACTGTTTAGCTATCATGACTATGTAGGATGAGGTGTATTCTAAGATAGCTTCCAGCTAATTCTAGTCACAAGGCTCACGTTGTCACTCTCTGTCACCTTTCATCTCCACAGCAGGTCCTATGGTAGTTCACTTTTCATTTCCATCTCATAGATGGACAAACTGTGGCACAGAGGTTAAGTGACTTTCATTAAAGCCACACAGCATGTAAAGAGCTGGAATGAAGTTCAAGCCTGAATCTGACTCCAGGATCTAAATTTTTTTACTGCCACACTAAATAACAATTATAGTCATTAATTTTATGTGTCATTTTGAATAGACCAAGAGGAGTTCAAATATGTTAAACATTATTCTGGACATTTCTGTGGAAATGTTTGCAGAAAACATCAGCCTTTGAATCGGTAGACTAAGCAAAGTGATTACCCCCACACCCCCCACCACAAAAGCACCCCCAGCCATGGTGACTGGTACCATCCAACTGGCTTAGGGACCAAAGAAAATAAAAAAAGCAGAGGAGGTGGGAATTCTCTTTTTCTGCCCAGCAATTGGAGCTGGAACATAGATCTTCTTCTGCCCTGGGTTTTAGGATGGCATTATGCATCAGTTTGCCTAGCTAGGCTTCTGATTCAGTGAATGCTACACTTTCCCAGGTCCCAGAATAAATGGAAAGGGGAAAAGAAAAAAGCCATTAGAGAGTTGGCATCCTTTCTCTGACATGAACTGTCTCTCTTACTACTGTGCTTACCCCACCATGGCAGATTGTATTCCCCTGAGTTGTGAGCTGTAGTAGGACAGGCCCATAGGGTTGAGGAAATTGGCTCAGACCAGTAGCCAAGGCATGCACATAATGTGCTCCTTAAGAGCCAAACTGGAGTCTGCCTGAGGGCCTAGCAGCAGGAGCTGTCAGAGTTCCTGATCATGCTGAGTCTGCCTGAGGACCTAGCAACAATCGCTGTCAAAGTTCCTGATCGCGCCCAGCCAATGAGGAACAACCACACAGACTGGGTGCTTGGAGGAGGGTATATAAGGCCTACCCTGCTATTAAATAAATGAGTTTATTATTTGCTTTCAACGGACTCCCAGTGTCTGTGTTGTTGACACTGTACCTTCTCACCCCCTCCCTCGAGGGAGCGGTTAGAATCCAAGCAACAGTGAGCCACAGTAACTCCCCCACCCAAGCTGCTTTTGGTCCGTCCAGCATTCGGTTACAGTTTTTCTCTACTTTTGAGACTGTCAGGCACTAGCTGAGGGCCCACTGCTCTCTGGTATGACCTGGTCTTAATCAATCCCTTCTGTCATGACTCTTTCACATGTAAAAGATGTTAGACCTTGAACATACTGGGAGGTAGAGGCACATTCAACAACCATAGTAATAATGTTACTAAAACTGAGAGGGGGAAGAAAGGGGGAATGGAGGCAGCTTGAGAACGACATCCTCCTTTGGAAGGAGACCTTGATAGGTTCTAAAATCAAGACACACAGAGATGTGTGCATCCAGACATAAAACTCCAACCTGCTAATGTTAGCTTAGAAAAACATGTCTTCTGAGAAAACATCTACCTCAAAGCATTTTCTTAAGGCTTAACAGCTTTAGGTTTTGTTCTTTTATAAAATAGACAAAACTTAAATATAAAGATTGTCTATTCTTTCAGAGAGTACAATGGTTTCTTATGAGATTACTCAACTAGGCAATTATGATATGAACTTCCTCCCTGGAAATCCTCGAAAACATCAGAAAGGAGAAGTAATGAAAAAGGGAGGTGAGAGGGTAGAGGAAGGGAGAAGAATGTAGGGGAGTGGAGGGAAAGGCATGAATATATGAGTGTCATTCACACTCACAGAAGCTAGCAGGAGCCTGGTTATAGCGGCCAGTTCACAAATGTTTGCTGAACTGCTGTACCCGTGTAGACACGTCCAGACCTCTCTCTCGAATCCTGCAGCCACTGGGATCTGTGGTGTTCAGTACCCAGGGACTGCCTGTTTCATTTTTGTACACCCAGCAGTCTAACTCTGCTTAACTCCAGACATAGCCAAGGAGGAGAGGCCAGCATTGTCCTCAGATGAGCTGACCCCTGGCAGAACAAAACACAGAGCCCTTTCCTTCTGTCTAGAAGGTACTTGGTGCCTCTGACTCCTGAGTTATAGTCTCTGTAGCAAAATCGCAATTCCCTCCTTGGACAAAGGAACCGGCTGGTAAAAACCAAGGTGGTGTTATCTGTAGCTGTCTGGTTCAGCCACTTTCTCTGCAGGGGACACTGTGGCTGCTCATAAACACTGTCCAGCTCAGAAACAAGCAAATGCCACAGCTGCTGACGGATGCTCACAGCCTGTCACCAGCTCCACACCTCCCCATCCTCCCTGCCCCTCCGGTGCTGGCTCACCTCCAGCCTATTTCAAAGGCAACAGCAGTGACTCAGACTTCTATAAAGAACAGGGACTGGCTTCGCTCTCACCAGCAGGCTCCTGAGCAGGGACGTCAGAGCCAGACACCTCACGCCTCTGTCTCTGTGGTGCATGTCTCTCCTTCCACCAATCCCCCACACACACATTTGCACCAGCACAATCAATATTCTTGCTCAGTCACAGACTGAGGGCCTGCAAGGCCCACTTACCTTTCTCTGCTGACTCACCCACGAGCCCAGCACTCCCTCTGGCTGGACTCGGAGCATGGTGACTTTTTAAGTTAAGCTGGCGCAGTGCATTTCCCCTTTTCCTGTTTCCCCAGAAGTCATCTAGGTCCTTACCAATGCCTTGTCACCCTGAGAGTCACAGAGAGGCTTGGAAACTTACAGACGTCTGTGGGAAGAAACATCAAGTATCATTCCTTTTAAGTGTGAGGAAGTCACTAAAAGAAGCCAACTCTCAAAAGATAGAAATAAAATAAATTTTATTTAGCCAGTAAATACCTAAAAAATGCACAACACCTTTAGCCATCAGGAAACCACAGATGGATAACTACATTGAGGTTGCAGCTCACCCATGTTAGAAAGATAATCATCAAGAGAATAAACTGTAACAAACGGTGGTGAGAACATGGGGAAAGGGAACACTTTATACTGTTGGTGGGAATGTAAATTAGTGCAGACACTAAAAGTGAAACTGCCTGTTTTATATACCCACTATACCACTCCTGACTATGTATCCGAGGGAACTGAGTTGGCAAACCACAGCACCGTTCACAAGAGCAAATTAAAGAATCAGCTGAGAGGTCTGTCCATAGATGAACAGGCAAAGAGTGAGCATGTGGTGTATGTAGACAACAGCATTTTATTTAACCACAATGGAGAACACAATGATGTCATCTGCAGGACAGTGCGTGGACCTGGAGATCATCGTATTAAGAAAAGAAGACAGATTCAAAAAGACAAACATACATGCTGTCCATCATATGCAAAATCTAGACTTTTTTTTTTAAAGACATAAACACCAAAGGGGACAATTTAGCAGAGCAAGAGACCCATCAAGAAGAACAGAGGAACAACACGGGGTGATGAAAGGGTTAATCAGATCGAAGTACATAAGATGCATCTGTGAAAACATCACAATGCAACCTGTTATTTGACGCGATGACTACACATTAATAAAAAGATTCAGGTCTGTAATCAATAAGCGCAATAGCTGCCGCCCTGGGGCAGAAGCTTCATGTCCAGGTACGGCGGATTCCCCAATTCTCTAACCAAGCTGGGAAAGGCAGCAGTGTGGAAAGATAATGTCATTTAAATTCTCCTCAGTCAGACGAGTGACAGGGGCTCAGGGCCGCCTGGTGCTACAGCTAGGATCTGAAATGGACTCACAGGACAGTGTGTCAAATATTTAGTCCTCAGAAATCCCCCTGGAAGATAGTGAGACCTTTAAGAGGCAGGGCCTAGTGGAACATCATCAGGTTATTTGGGAGTGTACCCTCAAAATACATTATGAGACCCTGTATCTTCCTTTTCCTCTGCTGTTTCACCCAAGTTGGATGTGATTATTGAAGTCTTGAATCAGAGCAGGTGTGATCAGCACCCTGAAACCCTCAGGAGACCTAGCCTATTAACATTTCTATGGAGCGGGCAGGGAGGCTCATTAGGTCCCTCCCTCCCTGAGGTTAAAGGTTAGAAATTGCTGGAAGAGGAAAAGACCCCGTGGAGTAGCTGCTGGTAGCTGCTGAAACTCTTGTAGATGACTCCAGTAAGCGTATTGCTTCACCAAGATGGACTTGGGTAGAATCATTTCTCTGGTCTGATGTTGTCCTCTCTTTCTAGGGTGAACAGAAGTAGACAGCCTTGAAAATACTATGCATCACTCTTACACTTCACAGCTGTTAAATGAGTGGTGTGGTAGTTTGAATGTAATTGGCCCCCATAAGCACATAGGGAATGGCACTATTAGGAAGTATGCCTTTGTTGGAGTAAGTGTGGCCTTATTGGAAGAAGTGTGTCACTGGGGGGCAGGGGGGCTTTGAGGTCTCCTATGCTCAAGCTATACCCAGTGAGACAGACCACTTCTTGTCGCCTGCAGGATCAAAATGTAGCTCCTTCTCCACTCTCAGCTCCTTCTCCAGCACCATGTCTGCCTGCATGCCATGTCCCACCATGATGATAATGGACTAAACCTCTGAAACTGCAAGCCAGCCCCCATTAAATGTTTTCCTTTATAAGAGTTGCTGTGGTCATGGTGTCTCTTTACAGCAATAGAAGCCCTAACTAAGATATGTGATTTGCTCTGATTCATGCTCTTGCCATGATCTGCTGCCTTATCATAGGTTCAAAGGCCCAATAATGGCATAAAACTTCTAAAAATACAAGCACTAAATAAGTCATTTCTCCTTAGAAGTTCATTACCACAGGGATTTGTGCTAGTGATGGAAAACTGACTAACACACTGGATCCCAGAGAGCAATACAGCCCATCTCTTCTTTTCAAAGAGGAGCCAGAAAAATGCCTGAAGCAGGCTTTGCCTCACACCCAAAGGTCACACAGGCAAGCAGGCTCAGGGGCCCCCTGTTCAGGGTTATTTTCTTGTCTCTATTTTGTGTGCTACCATGTGGGTTTGCATGCTATCCTTACTTTGCTCAGCAAGGGGATGCTGTGGATCAGTGGTGCTGATAGCCTGCTGTCTCAGTTAGGGTTTCTATTGCTGTGAAGAGACACCATAACCATGGCAACTCTCATAAAGGAAAGCATTTAATAGGGTGGCTTACAGTTCAGAGGTTTAGTCTATTATCATCATAGTGGAACATGGCAGCGTGTAGGCAGACATAGTGCTAGAGAAGGAGTTGAAAGTGCTACATCTTGTGCAGGCAGCAAGAAGAGCTCTGAGACACTGGGTGTGGCTTGAGCATATATGAGACCTCAAAGTCCGCCTCCACAGTGACATATTTCCTTTAACAAAGGCGTATCTCTTAGTGCTATGCGCTTTGGAGGCCATTTACTTTCTAACTACCATACTTTCTTAGGAATGGAAACTGCTTCTGTGTAAGGGCAATAGAGGAGCACATACGGCTAGGCACTCTAGAAAAAGCCAGAAGCAGAGCAACAGGGGAGTCCAGAGTAGAGCTACTCTAGCCAGTCCCTGGATATGATGTGAAGGTTGTTTCCCCTAATGTCTGTCTATTACAGTTCACTGGTCCAGGAAGGAGGAAAATGGCACGACCCTGGGAGAGTTTGAAGGATAAAGAACAGTATATACTCTGCACCTGAGGTTCACAGAAGCCGGATGGAGAGCCCTCCACCTGCCCCGTGGAAATCCCTGCAGAGACTGTGCTGGCTCAGCATCTGTGCATTCTATTGCCCTGGATTGCAATGAAGGGCTGGGGTTGGGGGACAAGGAGGTAGAGGAAGGAGACAACTAGAGCAGAGGCATGAGATTTCCCAAGGCATGCCTGCTGCAGAGAATGCTGTCCCACAAACAGGCGGGGAGGGCATAGTGTTGGGCTTAAACCACACTGCTACTACTCCAGGGTATTAGTTTGGACGAGACCTTTGACAGAGAGCAAAACTTTGAAACAGGAAGGAGCTATCTAACGTCCCTTCTTTAGGGACCTAAAATCACAGGGCGGTGGACTCTGAGCTGAGTGACCCAAGAGGCTATCGGGCTGTTTGTGTATCTTGGGTAGCAAATATTTGCACAATCAAGCTGCTTTGAACAATGGCCAACGAGGCAGCATATCCCCTCCACAGCCCACTCTTCCACTTAGAGAGCTTTAAACCCAAAGGTCAGAGCAAGCCCCCTGATGCCTCTGATCATTGCCCTAACCCTTCCCAGGATTCTCTGAAGACAACTTACTGCAGCTTCTCAACATGTTTTAGAGCATGTGTGTACATATGTGAGGGAGAACACAGGAGAGAGGATGGGTGAGGAGAACTCTTGCATTATTTAAATTAATAATCTTGCCAGTTACCAACAACTAGCAAGCCAGTGGTTTCTTTATTTGATGGCTATCATGACAAATTCCAAAATCCTGATTTATTTTTCAGAACTCTGTTCGAGTTTGCAGTTCTTAAATCTTATACCAAGGAAACAAGCTCAAGTAACTTTCAAATGAGAGCAGTGAGACTATCAAACAAAAGCCAGCCGTTCCCCAGGGTACATGCCCTGTTTAGTGCTAATGACTACCTTCCCTGTCCCTAAGCCCAGAAGCTGGCAGTCACTGGTGCCTGGCTCTCTTGTACCCCTCCTGTCACATTTGCTGTACCCTCTGCTTCAGCACATTACCCTCCTTCCACTCACAACTGCACCCCTCAGTCTCCTGCTCCAAGCTCCCTGTGCCCACAAGGTTCCATCCCAACCACCCATTACTCAAGACCTTCCAAGGACACAGCCAGTTTGGGTCACCAGCATGGTACACCCACCACCTCGCTTCTGTGCTGGCAGCACATGCTTGCATTTGAACTTGGTGTTGGGACTCCTGGCCTATGTATCTCTCATCTACATATCCTTCCATTCCTGCAGCCCAGTCTCACCACCTCCCTCTGTTGCCCAGGCCCATGTCCATTCTCCAGCCCTTCCAGTGATAGGCCCCTTTCCTTGCACCATGACATGAACCATCATCTTCTCTGAAGTGTTCTTTCTTGTGCCCATCCACAAGAGGGGAAATGTGACTTCTTCTACAGCAAGAAGGCACATTCCGTGTCACCCAGGGAAAACACTACACCCTGAAATGGCTCAGCCTTAGATGCAGCTTCCTTGGGTTTGACATTGAAGGTAGATCCACAGATCTGGCAAGCTCAGGGATGACATGTAGCTACCTCTTTCAAACTTGTCTTTGGTTTTGTTGTGTCTTAGCATGACAGTTTTGTGGTCAGTGGTTTTTCTGGAACTACTTAGAAGTTACTTATAAGAACATGGGTAACTTATAGCAATGAAGCCTCTCTTTTCTTGGCAGTTGTTAAGCACTTACATATCCTCAGGCAAAGAGGAGCTCTCAGGAGCCTTGCAAGCCTTCCCCTTCTTCCATGAGGAATTGTTATGGGCCTAATCTGTGATAGTGTGATTCAAGACAGTAACCATCATAGCCAACTTAGAGGAAAAAGCCACACGACATGAATCAAGG